CCTCAAATAGTATTTGAATATTTTGATTTCCCAGATGTAAAGAAACATAAGCTTTGATAGCTTACAGGAAAAATCTCTAAATTTTAAGGCATTTTTCCTCAATATCGGGTTTTTTGTTTCTAATCTCAAAAAAGTGCTTCAAAAAAACTTTTAGGATAATATTTCAGACAGTTCATTGAAATAATACATTGATAACACATTTATTTGTTATATTTTAACAAAATGTGATTTTTGCAAGCGTTTTAATCAAAACACTATATCTGCCTATTTCTCCACATACAACTTTTAGACTTAATCCTTGTTTCATTGTGATGGGTCACAAATATTTTTCTAATTAAAAGCTCGGAGACATTCTTGACAAGCTATCTAAAACCACTTATTGTAAAACCTATGGAACATATAATGTAATACTGTGATGTGAATACACACTACACTGCAGCTACTATTTTAAAGTATGTGCAGGAATTAATGGTTACTCATAAAATTTAGTCTTATTCATAACTTGTTGCATTTACTTCCATTTCCTCATGTCTTACGTAACCAGCACACTTCTTACTTTAAAGCAGGTTATGTCTTTCAGAATTGTTCCTCACCAGTATAAGACGGCAGCCTTGACTTGAGCTCCATAAGAAAGACCCTGTGCACAGCGGTGTGTGAGGCCTCTGGCTCTTGGAAGCAGAGACTTCAGAAGCTTCTGATCCTGCTCCGTGACTCTGGAGAGCAGAGCTAGAAAGCACAAAGAAAAGGTTTTAATTACTTTAAATTTACTAAACGTTTAACCAGTACAAGCTAAATTCGGCACTTCTCATTGTCGGTTTTAAGCACAACAAAAACGTTATCTTTATTGAATACCTTTTTGATCAGATGCATGTAGCTGTTCTGCTTCTTTCTGTACTTTCTGCAGAGTAGCAGAGTAGAGTTGCAGCAACTCGCGGAGAAAACGCAGCTCGAGCTGCTGGGATCGCACCTGGGAGCACAACTCTTCTGGAGCCTAACGGGTTAAGGATGAGAAAAGTAGCTTCTGTTAAAGGACACATTACACCAAGGTTAAAAAAAACTGCATGTATGTGTTTTTCTACAGGGTAAAATGGGTCATTTACAGTTCAAAGACTGGATTTATTTCCAGACTTTAGACACACAAGTTATCAGATATAGGCTCTACAAGTGGCAACATACAGACAACTTCCTTTAAATCTGTTCTGATGTATGCAAAAAGTACAGGCAGAGGACTAGAGCTGCACAATATATTGTTTGAACATTGTAATGTACGTGTGCGTAACAGTCACATTACAGGTCCTGTGATGTATAGGGACTACATTAAAAGTCATTGAACTAAACAATCACGTGTCATGGCTTTAATTTTGACAGGTGCTTTATTTTTGTTGAGAAACATCTGGGGCAATAAGGGCAAAATTTTTCGGAGAAGTGTTGTCTGTGAATTCTTGAGGTGTGGAGGAAGACAACAAGGACCCTGATGAAAACAAAGAAGATGAGGAAATTCATTCAGTGTCATTCAAGTCTTCCATTTCCTGTATTTTTTTCATAATGCAATATGTATAACACAGTGTTTAAAAAAAAATAATAATAATCCACTCCCCCACCCCAGCATTGTGCAGCCCTGATGTGGACCTCTGTCTACATAGACTGCATGTTTTAAAAACTAATAAATTCTAACTAATAAACTTGGTGCCATTAAAGTGTGCGGCTGCACATCATTTGCAGCCCGGCTGACAAAGAGGCTACCCAGGTGGGTGGAGTTTGCACTATATTTCAAGTGGGCGCACCAGCTCAGATCCAGCAGAAAAATTGGCTTATGCTCACTTCAAACATGTGACTGACGGAAACAAAAGTTTTTACTGTCAAATCCAAATGGAATGAATAAACTCAGTGAATTCACTGAATGAGTTTTGTCTTTTTTTATACATTTATATTGTCAATTAGGGAGGATGCATGGGCAGGACTTTCACATGGAGGTACAGTATAGCCTCCACAAACTGAGTGTGCAGACACTGGCTCCAAAAATACAACACAGGCCCACACAGAAAAACACACATACTGGCTTCAGTTTTGAACAGCAGGGGAAAGGGTAAATGCTTCTTTCATATTTATAAATATCAAAGGTCTTAACTCAGATGACTGAAAAGGAATGTGTCTTATTGTCTATATAACAGCATTATTCAAACTGGGGTGGTGCTAGGGAGGCCTCAGAAAGCTGCAGGGAAGATAAGACAAAGAAAGCAAAAATTAAAACATTTAATCTAATAAATGTTTTAATTTATTAAGTAACTATAAATATAATTTAGAATAATATATTAAAATGTTATTTAAGTGAACTTAGGAGAGGTTTGATTTGTTTTGATCTCTTCTCATTGTCAACAGTTTGTTGAAAACTATTTTTCTGTGGAAATATATCGTGTTTAAAACACATGGGTAATATAATTCTTATGCTAAAAAGATGTAATAATGAATAGTGAATAAAAGAGAAAAAACACAAAAGTTGATGTTTCTTTACTTATTTTGTTGCATTGTTTTGCAAGGGCGTGGAAAATTTGGGAACCACTGATCTATAACGTGAAGCACTGTTTTGGAAAATAAAAATACTGAAAATTATGATTTTTGAGGTCACTAACCAAACTCTGTAATTACTGAGAAAACAGTCTAGTTTTCAGTACAAATGGAAAAAATAAAATAAAATATTGACCCCAAAATTATTATAATTATTATTATTATTATTTGGCTACAGTATTCACATTACTTCTCTAATTTTCCTACAAACCATGTTGTAATTCTAGGATTTTAATCAAGATTATTATACATGCTATAGCCATAAAGACTTTGTTTTATTGCTTTCTTCTTTCTCGTCACAACAGATTAAAACACAGTGTACTTGTCAGTACTGACCTTGTACAAAGGAAATGCCAGGTTCTGACAAAAGTTGCTGAAACTCGAGGACTGCAGGCGGTGAATGGACAACAAGGACGCAGGAACTCTTTGCATTCTGAAACAAGGAAAATATCACTTTTCCATATTTGAAGCAGTTGTCATTATTTAAGAACTCGACGTATCATTGTTGATCTAGGTTTTCAGAAAAGAACCGCTCTCCCTCCTTCCTGTTCTCACCCATCTACAGTCCTGCGGTCCAGAGAAAGCAGCGACACTGTCCCAAACTGTTTGGCCTCTTTAGAAATAGAGTTTCGTAGATTGTTAGCTGCTGTGATCACATCTTCAAAGTGTGGCATGAGCTTGATCTCGGTGACTTCTTGCAGCTGAAACAGAACAATGAAACTGTACTGAATAAATAATAAAGCAATGAACAAAAAAATGTAAAGTCAGTCACTTCTGATTTATTTAAATCAACCAAACCCTGACACTCAGACCTCTTTATGAAGACAAATCAGCTGCGTTTTGGCTGTTGAGTTTCCATTAATGAGATCTCTGATCTGCTCCTGTCTGAGAGCCTGCAGAGAAACACCAGTAAAACATGCTTTATGGCCTCTTTCTTGTTACAACCAGCTCCAGCCAACAAAGTGAAAGGGTTTATTTCATCTCAGAACAAAATTCAAACACAACCAAATACATCAGAGAACATTAATCAGTGCATTCATATAGAAATATGACGTTCCACAAAAGTAGAAATTACCATGTTCAAAATAAAAACTTCAAATACGTACGTAAAGATTGTTAGAATTTATTTGATGGAGAAAAGGCACAAATATTATAAGATTTTTTTTCTTCTTTCTGCTGCCTTTCATTTTATTTTATTAGTCATTTGTATTTTTTTTATTGTATATAGAATTTGCTTTGTTTTTCAAATTAAATGAATAAAAACTGTCTCTCACCACTAGTTCTCTAAAGTCCAGAACGCTCTGCCACTGGCTGCGAAGCTTTCTCAGCGCCTCCTGACGGTTCTTGGCGTGTTGGTCGAGCTGGCTGCATCTGTCCCTGATGTGATCCCGAGCTGCTGCCTGCATCACGCACCGCAGCTCCACCTCCAACGCTGACCTGTCAACAAGTCAGAGAGCAGACCTCACAGCAAGACTCTCCTGTAACTTTCATCTTTCAGCTTACAGAGCTAGTGGACGTACAGGGCCGTGGTTTCATTGTGGAGCTCCTCTAGAGTCCCGGACACCTCTTGCTCTGCCTCCGTTTTACGAGCCTGCAACAGACTTTTGAGCCGCTGGACTCTGAAGCGAGTCCGAGACAACTCCACCAAACTCTGCTGCACCTCCTGCCAAGCAGCCTGAAACAACGAACACACACAAAACATGGATGAATACCATCACCACACAGAAATACTTCATTTAACTGTGACTTTTACAAATATTTTACTGAGTGTAAAAAAAACTGGAGCACCTCTAAGAGGGTGTTCACAGGTGGTAGCTCATCATCTTCCTTGGCAGAGACGTCTAGAAGGTGATTGCTTTCATACTGAAACCTAGAAAGAGCACATTGGTGAGAACAATCTGAATAATGAGAAAAGAGCAATAATGTGGAGCTTCAGCTACCGCAGAGCTGCCACGTCCTGCGTCACATCCAGAGCAGCTACTTTCTCCTGTAGTTCCTGTTGCTCTCTCGCAGCTAAATGTTGTAGTGCTGAGAGGACGTGGCTTGGAGGGTAACTGCTCAACACTCTCTGATGCCACGACAATAAAAAGGTTTATTAAAAACACACAAACACGTAATATATATA